GTCTGGAAATAATTAAAAAATTTAGTAAATTACAGAATAAACTATCTATAACGAACTAAGTCAGTGGAATAAGTAGTCCATCACCTTTTCCAAGGGACATATCCAAGCTTCCATCATTTTTGGTCTTTACAAGAAAAATGAAGTGAGTACTCAATTTAAAAATATTCTTTTAATATTTACCTATTTATGTATATCTCAGCTTTACTGAGCTTAGAAAACTTTTTTTTTTCATTCTTAGCTTTCAAGAGTCAAAGATTTTTCAGGAATCAGGCAAACTTGAAAATTAACTCTATCAACCCACTTGAAAATAGCTCATCATTAAAAAGCAGGGTGTTAGAAATTGCAAGGTATTATTTCCATCATGCCCTATATTTACCTCTAGTTTCCTGTTATTTAATGTAGCCTTAGCAGTTTCTAATTTTCTTGCAGGGAGGAGCCCAGATACTGGCAGTGTTTGAGTTACCACCACTTTATAGCTCAGTTCAGCAAGGTTTCCAGATTTTCTTAATATTTTCTTAAGTAACCCACAAGTAATTTGAGGAAATCTTGGAACCTTTCATGATATTACTAAGACCTTTCTGGGGATAATTGGTTTCCAAGCAATCCAGAATTAACACAGTTATGGAGGAAAATGTTATATCATGGATGCTATAATTTCTAGATATCTGTGTTTTCTTTGGATTTCCATGTTTTATTTCTTTAAACAATCTTCTCAATAATAGTGTTCCAGCCTATGTAGAACCTTTTGAGCATGTAGAACTACATTGTGTGTTAGATATTTCTGCAAATAAATTTGTTAATGAATAATTAATATTTTGGTCTCTTGCCTTGATATCTCTTATCTAAGAATCCCTCATAACCAAAGAAAAGTATTGCCTTTGCTCTGAACTTGGTTCACTTGGAATTTTTCATGCAACAGGAAATAGCTTAGAGTTAAATTTACTATCAAGAGTTTGGCTGCATTTTTTTCTTTTTCCTTTCTTTTTTTTTTTTTTTGTATGGCAAAGAAGCAGTATGATTGAAATGTAGTTTTGCTTTATTATAAAAATATATTTCTTTTCAACAAGAGACATGGATTGTAATGCTTTATCATTAGCATGGTAAGATGTGGCTTTGCTTTAAGTGGCCACTTTCTATTTTTAGCTTTACTATCATTTCTAAGAACACTCTAAGGGTAGACACAGTAATCACTAAATATAAAAGATATGGCTATAACAGCACAGGTGCTCAGATAGCTAGGCGACAACAGGATACTGAGACTTTAGTCATCCAATAATCCACTAAGTCATTCAGTCATACAACTTGCATGACAATCAGGAACATGAGATCGTTGGGAACTTAGCTATTTCTTTTAGGTCAGTTTCCTATCAGGGGTTGCTGCCACTAATATCAAGTTTTGCCTTCTGTATTTAATATCTGTAATTCTCATATTACTTTGTCATCTACTTATATATATTTGAGCTTCTTTTTATTACCAAGTTGTGATATATATATATATATATATATATATATATATATATATATATATATATCTCCAAGTTATAGTGGGTGCATTAGAATATTTTGGTGATCATGATAATAGTAACAGTAAAAATAGCTTCCAGTTATTAAGCATTTCATGCCAAAATATAACCATAGATGTGAATGTTGTATTTCTATATCCACACCAAATTCAGTCTGGAGTCGGGCTTCTCCATAAGCCTATTTGATTTAAGTTGTGCACATAAGGCGCTGATGGGGGACGAAGGCACAACACTCATCCTCTTTCTTTCAAATGTGGAGGTCTCTATTTTTCCCTCATCCTCTTTAAATTCTCACGTATTAAATTCTTAACATTCCTCTATTTTGATAACAATATTCTCTGATCCAGATCAAGGTATCTCTCATTTGGAGCTTTGCTGTACTGTAATAATTTCTATAGAGCGATTCTCATTGTAAAAATAATACTGATGCCAATTCATTTATTCCCCAAGAAGAAAAACATAGAATAAAAACAAAAGATAAACTTCAAATATCTCAATTTAGACTTATTTTAAGCCTAGAAGACCCAATCCTCTATAAGTAAGTTTAAATCATGCCTAAAAATTCCCCATTTTTATCATAATGCCCTTAAGAAAAAAAAAATAACATGTTGTATTCTCTTTTACTAGGCCCTCTAGGAATCATGCAGTCAGTTATATAGGCTATTGCTTTACTGCATTTATCCCTCATTCCAATAATGTGGAGTGTGGTGACTCTGGAGGTGTTGAATAGTGTAACTTTTAAGTGGTAATAACATCAGGAAATCCAATCTGTTTCATAAAAATGGCATACAAAAGTATCATTACACACATTTTCTCTATAGAAATGGCATATACTAGAAACAACGTATATTAGTTTTATGAGAAAGGCTCTTGCCTCAGAAAGTGCTGTGTTTCAGCATGCACAGTAACATATATTGTCATATATGAAGTATGATACAGATGAAACAGCCAGCTCTCCCATTGTATACTGCCCTTGTCAGACATTTATGTATGTACTGTAACAGATTCTGTATTCTACGACTAAAGGACTTTGTAGAAGGCTCAAAATAGATATAATCAATGTAAGGACTGAAAATAAGCTGTAGAAGAGAAGATGAGAGGAAGTGGGCTTATTTGGCCTAGAAATGTACACTTCTGTTTTCATATGTCAACTTAGGCTTTTTATACGTTAGCTGTTGAAAAACCCATAGAACTGGAAATGGTCTGCAGCAATAGAAATTTAACTTAAGTAAAAGATAGAAACTCTGTGAACATTAAACCAGTTCCAATGAGGGGTGGTAAAAATCTCTGAACGTCACTGATTGGGTAGGTTCATTATGATATCATTTGAATATAAGGATATGAACCAGACAAACTCTTTTGTAGCCCTATGTTTTTAAGGAACATTACTTTAAAATAACTCTGATTACTAGCATATGGATTTACTTTCTTGGCATAATTGCAAAATGTAACAAAATAGTCACAAATAAGTTAATCCTTTAGTGTTTGTTGAAAGCATATTAAATCTTTTGAAGAAAACTTCTGCATTTGAGGAAATTTTATTACTTAGTAAATTTGATTTTTTTTTTAAATCATGATTTTTTTCCCCCCACACTAACACTGGTGGTTGTTTTAAGCAGTTTTTCTTTTTAAAGACATACTCCAATTTTCTGTCTAAAAGTAGCCTTTTACTGGACATGTGCATACTTTACTTTGTATAATCATTATTTGAGAGCATAATCATGTAGTATAAAGATATACGAACTATAAAACAGGGTACTATAGTTCCACTGTCATCTCTTCTACTAGCTAGTAAGTAGTGTGACCTTGGACAGGTCACTTTATTTATTTATTTATTTATTTATTTATTTATTTATTTATTTTTTAATTAAAGTTTATTGGGGTGACAATTGTTAGTAAAGTTACACAGGTTTCAGGTGTACAATTCTATAATACATCAACTATATATCACATTGTGTGTTTACTACCCAGAGTCAGTTCTCTCTCCATCACTATATATTTGATGGCTTTCACCCTCATCTACCACCCCCCTCCCCCCTTACCCTCTGGTAACCACTAAACTATTGTCTGTCACTTTTTAATATCATTCTTTACCTCCCTGTGGCAACCTCAGGACAGTGTTAGAAGAGTGCTATCTTATGTTTTTCCTTCTTTGAAATTCTATTCAGGGATTTTATTAAATCATTATTTAGGTAAATCAGTATTTAATTTTTTTCCATACTTAAAAATAGGTTCTTTTAACCATATTTGAAAGTCTTCATATGACTTAAATTTTTAGTGAATAGTTAACATTTATTAATATATTAATCCAGCATAGAATTTAAAAATAATTAACTAATACAGAAAATGGTCACTTTGTACTATGTAAAATTGTACAATTAAAACATTTGATTTCTTATAATTCAACTGTCAAATAGCTGTCATCTTTCATTTAGTATATTTTGTGTTTATCTAATAGGTTTGGAAATATACATGAATATTTGTTCCCTTCACATACCATCGCATATTATTTCTATAAAATTATGATTTTCATTCCACATACTCACAAACGTAAATATAACAGTATGTCATGCATTACCAGTCAATGTTATTTCAGTCATTACTAAATATCTTTCCTCATATATTGCACATTTAAACATATAAGGTACCTTAAAGAGATTGTAGCCCAGTGGAAATGTAATTTTATGATTATATAAATTATAAACACATGATCAATTTTTCTTATAACTGTAGTGATTTCTGGCTGCCCTAAATAGTAATAATGAATGTTGTTGTCATTGAGATTTACTTCAATTATTCAAAAAATTCACATAAAATATGACCTAAACAGTGAATTAAGAAAAATTAATGTAAATTAAATCCAATTCTGGCAGATTAAATACTGCTTAGGATAGATGAAATTTCATGTATTTACTTTTTTTTAAGTGAAACATTTAATCTGCACATTAGCAGCTTGAGCTGTGGTTAAAAATGGTTTAGGGAATTATTGAAGAATCCAATCTTTATATTTTAAACGACACACAAAATATTCTTTGGAGATTCATTATTAAGAAAAATCACTTTAGTGCTATCTACTCTCCCTGTTGGCAAAAAAAGGGGAGATAAAAAGAATTCGTTTACACCTCACACTTATGAGTAAGAAAATGCATTTGTTTCATATTATGCCATATAATAGGAAACTTGGTCTTATAGCTCTATTCATCAATAAGGTAAGACTAAAAAAGGATTAAAATAAAATCTTTAGTTTATGGAGGAAAAGAGTAAAGTCTCTATGGAGTCTATTTTAGAATTGACATTTTGCTAAAAAAAATTTTGACTCACAGTTTTCTACTTATTAAACATTTTCCACTCTGATTTCATGGCTTAGCTCTAAAACCTAGGAAATCACCACTCGGTGCAAGATGCTAACATTTATCCCAATCTTTCTGCCTCTCCAAAGATTGCCTCCAAGTATAAAGAGAGATAGTCACGTCTTACCTAGACAACGAGGAGCTGAAACGCCAAGGCATGACATTGTTCAACACTCAGGTTAGGAAAGAAGTCCGTCCCCATTAGTTTCTCCAAAATATACGTTCACATTTCGTGGTTGAGATCATGGCTCTATTCTAAGCAGTTTTATGCAGTGTGTTATTCTAACAAAAACACCCTCCGCAGCTGGAGGGAGCCGTAGCTAAAGCAGGAGTCTGTCAAGGCGTTCCTAGTGACTTCTGTCTACTAAATTCAGACTGATGTTTTGCGAAAGGGGCCTCCACCACCAGGCCCAGATTGCCTGGGAAGCATTTCCTGCCTCTGAGGAGTGTGCATGTGAGAAAGACTGCACGAAGTGGAGGGGAGGGGAGTGGGGGGGTGCGAGCAGAGCCAGCCTGGGCGTTGTAGGAGCTCTGACTTTACACAGAACTGAAGTGAGTTTGTCAAAGCTCTTGAGGTGATTAGCTGGAGAGTCATAAAGTCGTAGAGCTTTTTCTATCCCACACAGCTTATGAGAGAAAAGAGAGAGAGAGAGACAGAGAGAGAGAGGGAGAGAGAGAGAGAGAGAGAGAGAGAGAGAGAGAGAGAGAGAGAGAGAGAACATAGTTTTCTCCCTCATCTACAGCTTTTCCAGTCTGCTAAATGTATAGGCACAACCTATCAAAATACCTTAGCAGATCTTTTAAGAGAGAAAGATGAATTTAGTTTTAATACCGTAGTTCTTCTAAATTTGAAATCCTTTTTTTTTACACTACTTACAACTTAAAAGTCTATAGTCTTGCATACTATACCTGAGATCTGTAAGTAAAATCCCAAGAATCTAGTAAATAGAATACTTTCTTCATGATCTTTCTGATCCCAAGAATTCTTCACAGAGTTAAAATAGTTTGTGTCCTGGCATATATGCAGTATTACCTCTAGTCAGGATCCTCCAGTTACACAAATCCAGGGCTGGAAAAGCAGAAGACAGACTCCATCTTGATCCTATTACAGTCTTGCTGACATTAACCACTTGCAACTGCTTCCATCTAGCATGACAGAGTCTCTGAATAACATCTCTAAAGCAGCTCACAGTATCTGCATCCTTCGTCCGACACAAATTTTGTGAACTATCATCTGTTTATCTTTTCTGCTTTCTTGTGCCTCCACTGAATGACTTCCTCCTAGCTGCTCCAGGCTGGGAACTTGGACTACCATTTGGTTTTGATTAAAACCAGACAGCCAGTTCGGGAGAATTTAGGGAATAAGCTAATGGAAACTGTAAGTATGGCTTTAATTAGTGCATCAATTAATAATAGATGTTAGCTCGTCTTATAGTAAGATGACACAAATATAAACGCAGAGGAAGCGTGAGTTGTTTTAGGAAAGTTATACCAATTCTCATTCTTTTATGACCCAGAATTCTCCTTAGGGAAAGTGGAAGGAAAGAAGAGGGATGTGGCCTTGGGACATCCAGGTTATGGAGAGGCCAGTGGCGTGGCTTCTTTGTTTATGCCAGAGAAACAGGAAACAGCATCTCTGAGTTTAATTCTCTTACTCAGTTGGAATTGCTCAGTAATGTCTAACTTCTGTTTTATTTACTATCAATGGATTCTCTTGCTATTTATTACTCACGCATTTTTTCCCCCAGTGATTAGTGATCAGATCAATCTGATTATTGGGACTATGTGTGGTTTGCAGTATTCTAGAGATTTCCAATAATGGGAGGAACAAGAATAATTGCAATTTCAATATGATAAATGAGTAACATAAAGAGGTAGAAGAAATATTAAACCTATTAGCTCTAAGATCCATATTATATATCTCTGAATTTGTAATTAGTTTTTATCATTGTGTTTATTATCAGTTGGATCTAATATTTATAAAGGCTCACAGATACCTGGATATCACAATGGATATTATTATAGCACTCCCTGAGAATATTGGGTAGGTGATAATTCAAAGAAGTATGATGTTATAGCTACTATCTCTTTTCTTATTGGAAAAAGAAAATCTCTTAAAATTAATGTAAAGCATGGACTGTTAAGAAATGTTAAATGGCAGGAATGACTTATATTGTACATGGTTTGAAGATGAAAAGCATTCAAATAAAAACATATAGACAGAAACAATTTTTTAAGTTTATATCAAAACTTTACAGATTAAAAAATGAGCATTTAAATTACTTTATTTTAACCTTCAACAACATGGCATTAAGGAAGCCCATACTTTCATAAACTATTTGAAGAGTATATTCATGTTCAAAATATTTCCACTGAAACTATGCCCATTTAATCTTTTCAATAATCTTTGTGTATATTCTTAATTTTATTTTACAGATAAAGTATTATAAAGTTGTGGAAGTAATTTTCTCACAATCAAATGATAGAAAGTGAACAAGTATACAATGGAATCCAGGTTTTCTACCTCTCTATTCCCCTCCCTAAAAGAGTTCAACTGTCTCCCTTGGCTCCCAATTGTTGTGTGAAATTGGGAAGACTTTTAAAACTCTATTTTAGATTCCTCAAAACCATAATAAGAAACCACCTTGCACCTGTTAGAATGGCTATTGTCAACAAGACAAGAAACAACAAGTGTTGGAGAAGCTGTGGAGAAAAAGGAACCCTCATACACTATTGGTGGGAATATAAATTGGTATAGCAACTATGGAAAACAGTATGGAGGGTCTTCAAAAAATTAAGAATAGAGTTACCCTATGATCCAGAATCCCTCTTCTGGGTACCTACCACGAAAATTTGAAAACATTTATCTGTAAAGATGTATGTACCCTTCTATTCATTGCAGCATCATTCATGGTGGCCAAGACACGGAACAACCAAAGTGTCCTTTGAAAAATAATTGGAAAAAGGAGATGTGGTACATATATACAATAGAACATTTCTCTGCCATAAGAAAAGATGAAATACTGCCATTTGCAACAACATGGATGGATCTTGAGATTATCATGCTAAGTGAAATAAGTCAGAAAGAAAAAGTTGAGAACCATATGACTTCACTCACCTGTGGGCTATAAAACCGAAGCAACAAACGAACATGACAAGCAAAAAAAACTCATAGACATTGTAAGGTATATAAATGTGTAATCACTATGTTGTTTTGTACACCTCTAACTACTACTACTACTAATAAAAACTGAGACACAGACAACAGTTCAAAGGTTACCAGAGGGAAAGTGGGGAGAAGGGAGGTAGAAAAAGGTAAAGGGGGTCAAATACATGGTGACAGAAGGGGATTTGACTTTGGGTGGTAAACACACAATGCCATATACCGATGATGCATTATAGAATTGTACACTTGAAATCTGTATAATTTTATTAACCAATGTCACTTCAATAAATTTAATAAAGAAATAAAAAAAATTGTTCCTCTTTAAAAATAGGGACAATTCCCCATAACTCATAGACTGGAAAGCAGGATTAACTTTATATACACAAATTTCATAAACTTATATTTATTTCCCTTAGGAAAACACTGCAGCAGAATGGAATGAGAGTTGATGTAAGTTCTTTCCTAAAATAACTTATATATCTCCATCTCTATCTCTCTTTCTGCCTCCAGTACTGCCTCTAGTATATAGTGGGCACTCAATTAATGTTAGTGCTCTGCTAATTCTTCTTAGCTAGATTCTCCTCGTAAATACCATAATCCCACCTCATATAATTTAGCCTTGTTTCTGTTTATATTGGCCTGATAAAACAACAAAATGCTATTCATATACATTTATATATGCCTTTTCAGATATCTAGACACTCTTATTAGTACTTTTCTCCTTAACAGTCTTCTCTAAACAAATAAGACTTCATGCTTTATTCTATTATTAGAAAGTTACTTCCCAAATCTTTAAACATTTATTTATTTTTCATCCTTCAGTTGCCTGACTCCAAACAAGTGTCAGAACTTTTATTCTCATAAAGGCTTTACCATACGTGAGTATAAAGATAAATACTGGGATAAATTCCTAAATATTTAACATAATGCCAGGCACATAGAAAGTGAGAAAAGGAAGAACTGTTGGCCATTGAATTTAACAATGTAGACATCACTGTTGATATTGACAGAGAATCAAATGGACCAAAGCCTGGTTAGTGTGGTTTAAAAGAGAATTTGAGAAAAGGACTTGAAGACACAAAGAGTCAACACTTTAGAAGTTTTCCTGCAAAGGAAAGCGACCAATGGCAAGGCAACTATCTGGGGCCAGGAGAAGCTTCTATTAACACGGGGGAATAATGGTATGTTTGAAATTTTTTGTTTTTTAAATCAGTATGATATCTTCCCAAAGGGAGGGAACATATGTGTTGTAGAGAAGAGTAGGAAAATGTTGGAGTGGATTTTTGAGTAGGAGAGAGAACTTGGAAGTGAGCAGGGACTGATTTTATAATAGATAGGAACATGATACATGTGAAGACTTTAGTCATATTATATACCAGGGTTCATCTAGTCACTCAGCAAATCTGTTAGACACCATTATGGTTGTCATTGCTATTCAATTTAAAATTGCTTTTTGTTGCTCTTGTCACATAAAAAGTATACTCATAATAAATAATTGATTAAATAGATGACATATAAGAAACAAAACCCACAAAATTTTGCAAATATGCTTGACTGTGTGATTCTTTGTGTAATCCCACCTCCTGTATTTCTCTGATGAAACCTGGTACACCCAGGTTCAGGACGACTTATCTCCCTGGCAGTGGACACTCCAGTTCCATCCCTTCAAGCTGCAAAGAAAATGCATTGCTTTATGTTTCTCTCATCTTCCAGTATTGCATTTTTGCTGTTGTTTTCTAGTTCTGAGTTCTTTTACTAATGTCTTCATTTTTATTTTTTAATTCTTCTAATACCTTTATTGAGATATAATCTACACACAATAAACTGCACATTTTTAACATGTACAATTTGATTTTGACGAACGCATACACCTATGATACCATCATTAGGACCAAAATAATGAACATATCCATCATCTCACAGTCTCTTCCTGCTTCTTTGTCATCCTTCTCTTTGTCTTCCTCCCTTTCCACCCCAAGCAACCAAAGATCTGCTTCCTGTCATGGCAGATTAGTTTAAATTATCTAGACATTTATTTACATGAAATCATATATATCTATTTTCTTCTGACTCTGCATAGTTATCTGAGATCCATTCATATTGTTGTATGTATCAATAGCCTATTCCTTTTTATTCCTGGGTAGTATTCCATTGTATGTATATACCATAATTTGTTTATCCATTTACCTGTTGATGGACATTTAGGACAATAGCAATGGGACAAATTTATTTGACTATTACAAATAAACTTGCTATCAACATTTATGCACAAATTTTTGCATG